GTAAACTGTTATATGTTTTGGAAATGAATATTGGCAATAGTAACTGATGATATGTATGTTGGTTACGTTCCCGGCGATAGTGACCTAATCTAAATGTTTGAAAAACATTTCAGGTAAAAGTAATCCTTTAAATAGAGTAATGATAACCAGTAAAAAAAACTTAATGACTCGAACGTGATTTATTTTGAACTAAATAAATCATTTCAACACATTCATAAAACCGGTATGATGTGTGTCCCTTTAAATGTTGACATAAACGCACCCGAATAGCTTCCTGGTTGTGTGGTACTTTAAACTATTGCTCAACAGACAGCCTGTTGTGATACGTTTGTTTGTGCATAATTTGATTCTAAAGATAACGACTGAGTTTTAATGTTCCTCATGTTCCTCGCTCGGTCTACAGTTGGACAGATAAACATAACACAGCTGGGACTTTTTGTATAACGTAACAAACTGTGCACTCCTTAAACTTTTTGCTACCATCTTGTTTATTGTGGTTTAAAGGAACGCCTCGGCTTAGATCAAGGAGATAATTGTTATAGCGATGTAGATGACAGAGTGTGTGCTATTGACTCTTTGTTGTGTTCGAAATGTGAGAAATTCTCCTCAATCTTTTAACGTTTCTGAAAGCAAAACAAAAGTAGAAAACGCATTTGTTTTGTTAATACTTATCTTATGACTCTTATCACAGAGTTAAATAGCCTGTACTGATATAGTTGTATATATGTACCCTCAATTCTCTATGTTTTCCCTTTAACTTTGTTTACTTAGTTTATAATTTAACAATGCTTAACTTGACCACATCAAGAGGAACAGACGCGAGAAGACTTGAGAAGGCTATTTAACATAAACAGATAAGCTACCGTGGTCGATATACGTTTAAAATGTTTGATTTGAAAAAATATCGATCAGAATCAGGTTTCGGATTAATTATAGTTTTGTTAATATCGATTTTAAAGTTTAAGCAGTTTTTAATCTTATGTTTCCCGCCTTTAACAGTAAAAGGTATATACAAGCAACATATATAATGCAATTTACTATATAGAATAACTACATTGTATTCATTGTAGCTCTGATTTACGTATACAACTGTCCTATAGTATTTATAAGTATTATTGAATTGAATGAACAGAGATCATCCAGGAATCTATGGCGTGTCCAACGTTACAATACTGCAACGTTTGACACACAATCGGAATCATGGCGAACAGGTTTCGGGTTTAGTATCGATGTAACTGTACTACAAAACGAACATCGTTAACATTGTATTTAGAGGCCCATATAATAACAACGCTTTTATTTCGTTTACAGTATGATTCGATAATCCCTCACTAAGAATTAGACTGACCTCTGTCCCGATCATGTTTAGCGACGAGGGAAGTTGTATTTATACAGCCGACAGTGATATTTAACGGAAACGCTCGCCTGCAAATTTTAATTGGAGGTAACCTGGTATATCGGTCCTTCATAGCTACGTATGGTATGGTGGTAACCGTTATCCGCTATATATCGCGATATTGATATCTTAAACAAGGAAGAAGCGTGTCCCTTTAAATCTTCAACTTTTTACGATAACTCACCTTAATAGTTTCCTGTTTATTTTGGGCATGTAAACTACGACTCTATTGTTCGACAGCCAGCCTGTCCTGACACGTTTGTTTATCAGTAGTGAGGTTATAAATACTGAATTGTGCATCGTCTGATGAATGAACACGACACACATTTGCAGTCTCTTGGTCATCAAGTGATGTAAATGATTTATTCGATTTGATAACAAACTGATCGTTCCGGGAAACAATTTTTTCTTAATATTCAACAATATAAATCTTGTCAGTTGCGGTTTAAAGGGACGTTGTGTCTGCCATTGGCTCCAAAGATATTTTTTGATAGATATGTATGATAGAGTGTCCGATTGACCAGACCCTTTGTTGTGTTCATATATTGTTCGATCAGTCACCCTCTCACATGTTATCGTTCCTTAAAGAGAAAACAATAATAGAAGATTCCCTTTGTCAATATACACCACAGAGCGGACCCTTTCGAAAAACATGTCAGGAGCGGCTCAGGATTACGTTCTATATAAACCAATAAAAGGGTTTGTTAGCGTAAGTATTTAAGGTACAAACCGACAAGGACCAGATAATTTAAACACCGTATGTATTAACTGTTTGACACTTATGTTGAAAGTCTAATAGTCTTACGTTTAATTTCAAGTTCTTTATCATTTTGAGATTGGACGATAGTCATGTAAAACTTAAAAGCTTATAAAACGAGCGAAATTCAGGAGAAGACGAGACAGTGTAGCGGTGGACGATAACCGTGTGAAGTAGATAGGAAATAGCCGATCATAAAAAGGACACGAAAAATGATAAATGAACAAGACATGCACAAAATAGAGACAGATGCTAAATCAGACGACAAAACACTAAAGTGGGCAAAACACATGCTTAAGAGTGGCTATATAAGGTTTCCTTTTTGTATTGGCATGAAAACTCTTAACAAAACGCGCCTAATGTTGGAGATACTGTAAGGTTTTGTTTCGTATTTTCTGTTAGGAAACGTTTAAATGCACCAAAAAATTATCTGCTAGCGATGGTAAATGGTAGTTGGTCCATAGAAGTTATCTACCGTGTTTTATAATGTACTTTTTCCAATTCATGCTTATTTATTTGGATAAAGCCGGGGAGTTTAAATCTACAAATAATCATGGTGACTTTACGGATGAAAGAGTTCAAATCAATCGAAGCAGACATAACATTTACTATCAGTTCTCGATTATCGCTTTTACAACATTGTCATATTTAAAAAAAATAAAGGATACAATGTGATATCATAGTTATCACACGACCTCAGTGCGATAACACAACTATCACCCGGCTCATATGTGATATCAAAACTATCGTGAGACCGCAGTGTGATATCGCAACTATCGCCCGGCTGATGTGTGATATCACAGTTATCACACGATCACAACTAACACGCGACATCAGTATGATATCACAACTATCCCCCGGCGTATATGTGAGATCACAACTATCTTACGTCCTCAGTGTGATATCACAACTACCACCCGGCGGACGTGTGGTATCAAAGTTATCACACGACCTCAGTGTGATATCACAACTATCGCCCGGCTGATGTGTGATATCACAACTATCTAACGACCTCCGTAATATATCACAACTATCACCCGGCTGATGTGTGATATCACAACTATCTTACGACCTCAGTGTGATATCACAACTATCACCCGGCGTATGTGTGATATCACAGTTATCACACGATCACAACTAACACGCGACATCAGTATGATATCACAACTATCACCCGGTGTATGTGTGATATCGCGGTTATCACACGACCTCAGTGTGATATCACAACTATCACCCGGTTGATGTGTGATATCACAGTTATCAGACGACCTCCGTGTGATATCACAACTATCACCCGGCTGATGTGTAATATCACAACTATTTACGACCTCCGTGTGATATCACAACTATAACCCGGCTGATGTGTGATATCACAACTATCTTACGACCTCAGTGTGATATCAAAACTATCCCCCGGCTGATGTGTGATATCACAACTATCTTACGACCTCAGCGTGATATCAAACCTATCCCCCGGCTGATGTGTGATATCACAACTATCTTTCGACCTCAGTGGGATATCACAACTATCACCCGGCCGATGTGTGATATCACAACTATCTTACGACCTCAGTGTGATATCAAAACTATCACCCGGCTGATGTGTGATATCACAACTATCTTACGACCTCAGTCTGATATCACAACTATCACCCGGCGTATGTGTGATATCACAGTTATCACACGATCACAACTAACACGCGACATCAGTGTGATATCACAATTAATACAAAATTATTACAAGGCCTAAATGTGATACCACGATTATCATATGTTTCATTGTGATATCACAGTTATCGTCCGGTTTAAGTGTGATTTAGAGGTTATCTTATACCATTTCCATATCACTACTCCGTATTAGCCTGATTCTCCCATATCATCCTAAGGGGCCTTCAATATGATAACCTCTTATTTCACATGGTCTAAAAGTTAATTAGCACCGAATCAGGTATGCGAATGGCACTGTATAGCAAATCTCTCCTGGTATATAAAATAATCAAGAGGCTAGTGTGTTGTCATGATATAGACAATCGACATGTCATATCGTTTGTGCCATTTGAGCATCATGAATAATTGGTCAAAAGTCGGAAAAGGATATGGAATTTGTTTCCATTCTCATATAGGATTTTACGTTCCAAACTGAAGTTCTACTTTCTTGTCAGTAAGTTGCATGCTTTCAGACTTGTTTCGTTTATTGAATTATACATTATTTTCAGAACATAAAGATGTACACATAGGGGTTGACATGCTGACATAGTTTATACTGTTAACTCCGTATTTAGATTGGGGCGAAATATGTCATCATACTGTTCTTACTATTCCTGCTAAAAAGCGTCCGGAATATCGTCTCCCTGGACCGCACTTTCCGAGTAAACTCAATACCTACCTGACCGATATGACTTCATTGTGTTGACCGACCATTAAATTATATAATTTTGTTGTCAAGTGTGTTTTTCTTTCCGTTAGAGTTAAAGTGTTTTGAGCTAGGCTAATCCTAGCTAGGGCTAGATTATGAATATACTTTTACAGTCACTTACAATAACTTTACCTTTGTCCAAATAATCGGTCACGTTAAAATAACACCTGATCGTTATTTACAGTAAACCACATAGAGTAAGCAGGTACCTCGTACATCAATTCAGTAAGCGTAACTTCATTATACATTTTTTTTAAATCCAGTATTAACTTAAAAATTCTTTGATCCGTGTGTCCTTATGGTGATATATCCGTGCGGTTTTTAAACTAGCGGCAGGTTATAGAGACTAATGACATATATGCACGTGACTGTGGTGTATATATAAACGGTATGCCACTACCCTGACCAGTTAGTCTTTGTACGGTGCAGGACGCCGTAACGTCTCTTGATCGTATTGTATATGCGCGTGTTGCAATGGCGCACGTGCAAATGTGCACATTCTATATATTGCTACTGGTGCTGACCACGGCTCAGGGGTGTAGTATATCAGGAAACACATTGACGGTCAGTGCGGGAACGTCATGTACTCTGACGTCCAACGTTACCGTAAATATTGTCCAGGTGGACGGAACTATGACCATCTCTGGAGCGGTAACCATCACAGCGGCCGAGATTTACGTCGGATACGACGGCTGGATTAAAGCGGACGGACAAGGGAGCGCCGCTCAGCAAGGCACGGGAGCCGGGACGTCTCAGGGATCCGGAGGTAACTAAATAGTTATTTTGTAAAATCTTTGTAAAATATGTGTTGTGGATTTTTAAATCATTTTAAAAACCACCCTCTTTGGATAAAAATGGTCAAAAATATATTTAAGAAACTCTAACGCAAAGTTTTACTGCATTTTGTTGGAAATTTTCCATTAAAAAGGAAAATCGTTAAAGAATTGTACGAATGATTTCATAAGCGGTTTGACAAAATACGGGGTTATACGTTTATCGGTATTTAATACGAAGCTGTAATTGAGTGTTACACACCAGGTACATATTAATTAACAAAACAATTCCGGTGAAAACTTCTTAAAAAACATTTTCATAACCTAGCGGTATGAAGACGTCGGCGGAAAACGTTTAATATTAAATACATCCTAATATTCATATATATGACAAACATGTTAAATTAGAAAGAAAATCAATAAATATGTCAGTATGATTCCACACCAACAAATTGGATAATTTACTGTAAATATTTTGTTTATAGATTTTTTGTTTTTAATTTAATATAACAGAAAGTGCTGCTTCAACTAATTACGTGCTACGGTTTTGATTGAAACAAATATGTATAAGTTAAGGTTGGTCTTAAGTGAATGACGTCATCCTGCTTCCGAATCAGAAATTCGCCGTTCCTGTTTCCGACTCAGAAATGATGTTAACCTCTGTTTACGTATGCACGCGAGTGATTCTACGGTCAATCTATAATTACATTAAAGGCAGGTCACATACTTTGATTGCTTAACGAAATGCAAATGAACTTGCGGGGAAAACGATTTCAGCTGAAATTAAATGGAATTTAAAGCAGAGCGTATGTATTCACTCTGAGTTTTTGTTACCCCGTTCCATTGATTATCATACATATTTTTAAAATGTATTGCATGACTTCTTATTCAATAGATAAGCGTTAAAAACCTACCTAAATTTCAAAATTTGATAAAGTTTAAACTGATCAAAATATTGTTTATAACCTTCGATTTCTGGTCGCTCTCGTAATCACTACTGACATCCGTGGATATAATTAAGTTCTAGAACTATTCCATTTTACTGTGAGCATCCTTCAAAAAGCACCGGGATTGTTCCGCTTAATTCACTATTTTGCAAAGTAAGGCACACTTTTTATGTATTTCGATATTCGACAGCCTATTGCGTAAATAACTCGGCCTAAATGACCCTAATTATCTACGGTAAAATACACCTATAGATACAGTAAAAAAGAGGTGCATTTCGAAATTAAAGAATGTTAAACCATTACGCGGTATTCGCTACTATGATCAAATGATAAGGTTATATGCTGTTGACCATAGTGCCCTTTAAATCTGATCTTTAGCTTATAGGAGAGTTTGTATAACCGGGGTCATGAGGTGATGCGGCCGTGCACAATTTCAATGAATATGAATTGCTGTCAACATTTCCAGTCAAAACTATACTGGATCTTGGAAACAAGTGAAATAGGTTAACTTATATGGCCTTCGGGTTGCTTTTGGAGAAATCCTGCACCTCTCCCTGTCATTTGCCATGCGCACCAACGTTACCTTTCGCTTTCGCTTTCGCTGTAATCTACATCGTTGTAAGCTTTTTACTTATGTCCGTACTGTGTTTAAATTTCAAATTCGTATTTTTAAAGTTCGTTAGAGTTTTTCTGGTATCAACCAATTTACTTGGTTGTTTCTTTATTTTACAATAGTGAACTGCAATGAGTAATCCGATTCGATTCCTGATTTTAAACCCCCAGCAGTAACGGCGGCTTCTATCTGGAGCGTACGTATATATAATTTACAGGACAACAAAACGGCCACTGGGCATTAATCTGTTTTATACCCGTTCAGACTGTCACACCGTCAACACTAAGTCACTTGGTTTTTTTTAATTTATTTATTGAGTTTTTGCTTTTTAAAAAGATAAAATTATAAATCTTTGTATTAAAGAGCCCAAAAATTGAAACTGCAATGGAAGAATGGCATCATTGAATATAAAACCTGAAATGGAAGAATGGCATCATTTAATATAAAACCTGAAATGGAAGAATGGCATCATTAACCACAAAACCTGAAATGGAAGAATGGCATTGTTAAATATAAAAACTGAAGCATTTCACCACTTACTCGCCGTAACAGTATTTAAATCGGTAAACAGACCATAGTCTTTATAAATCTTAACGTTATACTTTTTTCCTTCATCATGGTACATGAACTTATTTATTTAACAATAATCTTGGTTTAGGATTCCCGATATAGCACATCGTGATAAAAATAAGCTTAACCGTCGGATAATCACGCTTAAGAATTGTGTGCGTTTTGTAATGCAGAACTAGTGACCTACATACATATGAAGGAAAGATTTACTCCAGAAATATTGTTTTTATTAAATTGAAACGGAAATCACTACTTTTGCGATGTATGCATTTTTAAACCTGTCAGACAATTATTTTTGAAATCGTGTAGCGTAAGTGGTCAATATAGTCGAGCCCTTTATTTTTTGTTTAGATTGTTTTTGACTGCATTCTTCAATTATACATTATCTCCCTTAGTTTGGTCAGACAGCGAAGTGACCAAAATTATTGGAGCTTTGTGTTTTGATAATTCAATATTCTAGATATAGGGCCAGTCTTTGGTAGTTGCATGGTTGGACAGTAAGTCAATTTACTAGAGGCGTGTAGCGTTCTGTATAGAAAACTAAAGGGGTTTACTATTTATAGTCCCGTATCAACGACCTAGGAGAAAACAATTTAAAAAAATACGATTTTTGTAAATTAATAAACGCATGAATGGATGTATTTACAACGTTATGTTATCACTACAGTCTGGGACTTAGATTTAGATAATTAACTGAACGAATAAGTATAGCTGTGTTAACCTACTTCATTAACTCCATTCAACAAATCTATTCTGGTGTTGTGTTTAAAGTTGTCTTAACATGTGTGTAGATGACAAGAGATATATATGTAATCCCCACAGTGTCTTCACTTTATAGACAAGGCTAAATACTTATCTGATTAAAAAGATCACAAACTTGTTAATCGTAAGATAAAGTGTGACTTTCACTCGTCAAAATGACAGTCTTACGATAGCAGAGAGACTGGGTAATATTTAAAAAGAAACGATTGTGTGCTTTTTCCAGCGCATCTCCTCACATCTAGCAATCACTATTATTCATGATGATTTATTTCTATATTGGCTTGTTATATCATGTATGTATCTTTCAATATTACCCACGCGTGTAAACGTTCGTGCGTACATCTAAACGTACATAGTATGTGTTATCAAGTGGCAGAGCACTCCGCGGGTACAAGTTAAGATCACTCCGCGGGTACAAGTTAGATCACTCTGCGGGTACAAGTTAAGATCACTCCGCGGGTACAAGTTAGATCACTCTGCGGGTACAAGTTAGATCACTCTGCGGGTACAAGTTAAGATCACTCCGCGGGTACAAGTTAGATCACTCTGCGGGTACAAGTTAAGATCACTCTGCGGGTACAAGTTAGATCACTCCGCGGGTACAAGTTAAGATCACTCCGCGGGTACAAGTTAGATCACTCTGCGGGTACAAGTTAAGATCACTCCGCGGGTACAAGTTAGATCACTCTGCGGGTACAAGTTAGATCACTCTGCGGGTACAAGTTAAGATCACTCCGCGGGTACAAGTTAGATCACTCTGCGGGTACAAGTTAAGATCACTCTGCGGGTACAAGTTAGATCACTCTGCGGGTACAAGTTAGATCACTCTGCGGGTACAAGTTAGATGACTCTGCGGTTACAAGTTAGATCACTCTGCGGGTACAAGTTAAGATCACTCTGCGGTTACAAGTTAGATCACTCTGCGGGTACAAGTTAGAGCACTCCGCGGGTACATATTAGAGCACTCCGCGGGTATAAGTTAGATCACTCTGCGGGTACAAGTTAGATCACTCTGCGGGTACATATTAGATCACTCCGCGGGTATAAGTTAGAGCACTCTGCGGGTACAAGTTAAGATCACTCTGCGGTTACAAGTTAGATCACTCTGCGGGTACAAGTTAAATCACTCCGAGGTACTAATGAGATCACTCCGTGGGAACTAGTGAGATCACTCTGCGGGTACCAGTTAAATCACTCCGAGGTACTAATGAGATCACTCCTAGTGTACTAGTGAGATCACTCTGTAGGTACTAATGAGATCACTCTGTAGGTACTAATGAGATCACTCTGTAGGTACTAATGAGATCACTCCGAGGTACTAATGAGATCACTCCTAGTGTACTAGCGAGATCACTCCTAGTGTACTAGTGAGATCACTCCTAGTGTACTAGTGAGATCACTCCTAGTGTACCAATGAGATCACTTCGTGGGTACCAGTGAGATCACTCCTAGTGTACTAGAGAGATCACTTCGTGGGTTCCAGTGAGATCACTCCTAGTGTTCCAGTGAGATCACTCCTAGGGTACCAGTGAGATCACTTCGTGGGTACCAGTGAGATCACTCCTAGTGTACTAGTGAGATCACTCCTAGTGTACCAGTGAGATCACTCCGTGGGTACCAGTGAGATCACTCCTTGTGTACCAGTGATATCACTCCTAGTGTACTAGTGAGATCACTTCGTGGGTACCAGTGAGATCACTCCTAGTGTACCAGTGAGATCACTTCGTGGGTACCAGTGAGATTACTCCTAGTGTACTAGTGAGATCACTCAACGGGTAACAGTGAAATCACTCCGAGGTACTTATGAGATCACTACACAGGTAACAGAGAGATCACTCCGCCGTGATGTCAAGTTCAAGTTCAAGTTCTTTATTAACTTTAAGTCTTGCGACTTATCAGTGTAAACATATAATAAACAGGATATTTACATATGTACAAAAAGTCATATTGGTCACAGGAGAATGAACAATACACACATACAAACTGTCATATACATGTATCTGATCGGCGCCTATTTGCCGCTATCAGATAATTTCCAAAATTACACAATTCTTTAATATTCTGTGTATTAAGTAATTGAACAAGCTTATATACAGTAGGG